GCGCGTACCCCCTACATCGTCCCGCGTGCTCCTGCGTGTGTACCCCTGCCTTGCTCGCATGCTCCCGCGCGCGTACCCCCTACATCGTCCCGCGTGCTCCTGCGTGTGTACCCCTGCCTTGCTCGCATGCTCCCGCGCGCGTACCCCCTACATCGTCCCGCGTGCTCCTGCGTGTGTACCCCTGCCTTGCTCGCATGCTCCCGCGCGCGTACCCCCTACATCGTCCCGCGTGCTCCTGCGTGTGTACCCCTGCCTTGCTCGCATGCTCCCGCGCGCGTACCCCCTACATCGTCCCGCGTGCTCCTGCGTGTGTACCCCTGCCTTGCTCGCATGCTCCCGCGCGCGTACCCCCTCCCCCGTCCTGCGTGCGTACCCCCTACCCTGCTCGCGTGCTCCCGCGCACCGTACCCCCTACCCCGCCTGCGCCCCATAGGTCTTAAAGATTAAGTCATGCATGTGTAAGTATGAACTAATTCTGTGAAATTGTAAAAGACTCATTAAATCAGTTATAGTTCCTTTGATGATATTTGCTACTCAAATAACCGTAGTAATTCTAAAGCTAATGCGTGCAACTCAAAAGTTCAAGTTATATTGAATTGATATGGATGTGTTTTAAATTCTTAAAAAAGAGTAATTTTTATAAAAATAGTTTATTTATTCACCATTCTTAATTATTCTATGCGATATAAAAGTATAAAAAGTTTATACACAGACCCAAATTAATCAATAAAATTTAGAAAACCTTTCACAATCCCAAATTATTGTCACATTTCCACCTTTTTTTACTTTTAATAAATAATGTTGAACTTTATTAAATATAATGATAAATAAATAAATAAATAAAATAGAAATTTGCATGAGATTTGCTTTTCACACCACAAGTTGCCCTAAATTCACGTTCCTCTCTGCTCTTTCTTTAATCAAAGCCTACAACAGAAGTAAAAACAAAATCATATTCAATTCCACAACAACATACAAATCATCACCGTCCGTCCTCATCTCGATCTACAATTCAAAAATCCAACGGCCTAGCAACATTCCATCAAATCACTCCTAAGAAACGCGTTGTAGTGGATCCTACCTCTCTCCAAGATTCTCACGTCTGTGAAGCCATGGCAGCGAGAAGCTCCATCGAGTGGGAGATTAGTATGTGAAAAAACAGAGAGAAAAGGAAAAATTTTGCGTAATGGGTTTCACAATGGGTTTGAATTTGCTTCTTCTCGTTGCAATGGTCGCCACCAATATCCTTTCTCTTTACCATCTTTCTTCCACGATTCAATCCGCGAAATCCCCTGTTTCTCAGCCGGTTCCCGATCACCTAATCCGGCAGCTTCAGACCATACGCGCCACCATCAACCACCTCACGCGCCTCCACCCCACGGCGGCAGCCACTGCATCCAAAACCAAACACTCTATCCCTTCAGATCTCGTCCTGTACTCCCAATTCTCCCCCATTGCTTCCTCTTGCCATAGCAATCCAGAGCTTCTTTATAGGTTCATGAACTACACTCCATTTTCGACTTGCCCTTCTGATTCTGAGCTCGCCGAGGCTTTGATTCTTCGTGGATGTCATCCACTTCCTCGTCGGCGGTGTTTTGCCAAAACCCCACAAAAACCCTCTTCTTCTTTGCCGCAAAATCCCTTTGATTCTTCGATTCCGGAGGCCAATGTAATTTGGGGAAAATATTCGTGTAAGGGTTTTGGGTGTTTGAATCGATTGAATCCGAATTTGGGGTTCGACCCTTCTCGTGAAATCACTAAATTCATGACGTACAAGACGGAATTGGACCTCCCAATCCCTCAATTGTTGCAGATTGCGAAGGCGTCTAACTCTGTTCTTCGTCTTGGCCTCGATATTGGCGGTGGAACCGCCACTTTTGGTGCTAGAATGAAGCTTTACAATGTCACTATAGTCACTACGACTATGAACCTTGGCGCGCCGTACAATGAGGTTGCGGCGCTTAGAGGGTTGGTTCCTTTGCATGCGCCGCTGCAGCAGCGGTTGCCTGTTTTTGATGGAGTGATGGATTTGGTTCGTTGTGGGCATGCTGTGAACCGGTGGATTCCTGTGAAATCTATGGAGTTTTTGTTGTATGATGTTGATAGAGTGTTGAGAGTTGGGGGTTATCTTTGGTTTGATCATTTCTTTAGCAAAGGGGTGGATCTTGATAAGGTTTATTCTCCTTTGATTAACAAGTTGGGGTACCGGAAGGTTAAGTGGGCGACGGCGGATAAGACGGATTCCGGCGGGGTGAAGAACAGGGAGGTTTACTTGACGGCGTTGCTGCAGAAGCCTGTGCCAATATGAGGTAATGGTTTGTTGTTTTGCATTTTGGTGTTGAAATGAATGAGATGAGATTGATTTCATAGCTTGCTGAGGAAGTGGTTCTGGTTGTGTTATGAGCTATGGTAATGAATGAGATAGATCTTGAATTATAATCTTAGGAAAACTCCAAAACTTCATGATTTCGTCTAATCCATTCGATTCTATATGATTATTTGTGTCGTCACATGATTTGAAACCTGTTTGTTTGGGAGAAGTTTTCACACCGTAAAGAATGTTTTGTTCCCCTCTTCAACCGACATGGGATCTCACAATCCACCTCGCTTCAGGGCCCACCTAGGAGGCATTCGTTCCCCTACCTAATAGACGTGGGTTCTCACAATCTACTTTCCTACGGGGCTCAGTGTCCTCGTTGGCACACTGCCCGGTGTCCACCCCCTTTCGGGCTTTCCCTTAAGATTTTTAAAACGCATCTGTTAGGGAGAGGTTTCCACACCGAATGTTTTGTTCTCCTCTCCAACTAACGTGGGATCTCATAGTCCACCTTGCTTCAGAGCCCAGCATCCTCGGTTCACCTCTCCAACCAATGTGGGATCTGACAATCCACCTCACTTCGAGACCCAGTGTCTTCGCTAGCACTCGTTTCCCTCTCCAATCGAAATGAGATCTCACAATCCACTCCTTTCGGGGCACAGCATACTCGCTGGGCACACTGTTCGACGTCCACCCCCCTTCAAAACTGAACGTTTTCACTGGCACACCACCCGGTGTCTTGTTCTGATACCATTTGTAAGAGTCCATGCCCACCGCTAGCAGATATTGTCATTTTTGAACTTTCCCTTTCGAGTTTTTCCTCAAGGTTTTTAAAACGCGTCTGCTAGGGAGAGGTTCCTCACCCTTATAAAGAATGTTTCGTTCCCCTCTCCAACCGATATGGGATCTCACAATCCACTTCGCTTCTAGCGTCTTCGCTGGCACTTGTTCTCCTCTCCAATGAATGTAGGATCTAACAATGACCTTGACAAAAGACGGTGAAACTTGTTTGAGGCTACCACCGTCAACATTGTCGGTATAGTAGTACTAAAGACGCCATTTTAGGAGCAGGGTTTAGGCTGTTCCTGTCTGTAAGTTAGTCTTTTGGTCGTGTTATGGCTTGCCATTCGAGTCTTTGTATAGATAAATGAATGTAGAAGCCATGGATCTCTGCCCCTTTTGATCTCATAAACTGACATAAAACCAGAAAATTTCAAATCATTGACAGACAAATAACCTGCTGCTAGGCTCGGATTATACGAGGAAGGAAGCAATTTAGTTAATGAAACAGTCAAATTCTTGTGCACAAAAACTCAAATATCTTATCCACCACCACCACCATGGACTGCTGAGTGTGTTTGAACTGAAACAGACAAGATGGTGTGGAAAAAAAGCATCCACAAACACATTTCTGGGAATTTATGTTCCAAATGGAAGCTGTTACAGACACAAACGTTCCCTTTTTCTTGTAGGTTCTGTCGGATTTATATATGGTTCGGTTCTGAATGGGGTATGAACAAAATGTATCACTATTTCTTTCATTAATCGATCTCATATGATATTGGATACTGTGTTTTCGTTGAATAGATACTTGTCTAGGATGTGTTATCTATGGTCGTATGTCCGTTTCTAACCCCATTTACGTGCTTTCTTGTATAGATAGGTCTTCACTATTCCCGTCATGTCAATATCCGTGTATCACCGTTGACCAAAATCATGTCTGCATCCGCTAAGGCTGAAGTGGCCTTGTATTATATAGGGATGTGACTAGTTGTCAATTCTTCCCGTCATGTCAATATGGGGTGTATCTCCGTTCACCAAAATCGTGTCTACACTTGCCAAGGTTGAAGTGACCCTAAAATGTATTATCCAGGGATATGACTAGTTGTCAATTCTTCATACTCGGGTTATACGCTATTGAAGTTGTGGTTGTTGCTTATTTTCTTAGGGTATAACATTACTTTCTTACAAATTATTTTTTCCCACTCACATTTTCTAACACACTTTATCTCAAATGTGATTGAGACTCAATCATACGTCTGAATTGTCTGCGACTTACGATTTTCATACGGCTAACTTGTTCGTCGGGTTAGAATAAGTGCTGCATAATTGTTGTCCCATTGCCACAACAGTGCGATTGTGACACTCAACACCCTTGTCTCGTGAATGACAAAATTTTCATTGAAGGCACGGGAAGGTTAGGAGAAATCTTTCCCTATTTGATATTTGACATCAACGGTCACGTTAAAATTATTACAGGTTTCGATAAACCAACAATACCAAAATTGTACTGTTAAATACATTATTTGCAATAATTATCTTCTGACAGCTCAATTGATTAGAACATTATAATAAAAAAATTAAATTAAATTGTAACGTGACATTAATATTTTTATAATTATTCATTAACTAAATTGTAATAATTCTATTTTTAAGGGTTATTTTTAGCAATATTTATAGTTGAAGGGTGGTTTATGTATTTTACCATATTTAAGGGTCTAATTGTAAAATTTTATAAGCTTTGATTAATGAAATAATGGCAATAAATAATTTTTTAAAATATCAGTTTTTTGCAAAATTCTCAATTAAAAAAAGATAATATAACATAAAATAATATAAAAAAAAGGCTTTGAAATTACAAAGATGTCCGAAACATAAATATCTAAAGAAACGAGGTGAAAGTTTAATTATGAAAAACTAAGGGGCTCGATTTGTATTTCAGGTAACTTTTGGGACGGCCGGAGTCGACGGAGTATTTGAACAGAGTCTCCTATTTTTCGATTTTTGTTCTGTAGCCTCTGTCGATAACGCGATTGAGATCCGATTGCGTTCGAATTCCCGAAGAATAATTTCCCGGGAAAAAATTTCACGAGCCACATGGTAAGTTTCTTTCTTCATTTTGAACTAATCATGTTTTTGTTTAATTCTTCTGTTGCACATTCGTCTGATTTCGGCATTCCACCGATTTAGCTTTTAGATATGTCTTGAAGTAACTATCTCTGAATTTTTGGGGATGAATATTGATGTTAGGATCATGGAGTTTTGTTCTAGTTAGGCAGTTATGTTCGACAATTTTGGACGTTTGATTGGTTGATGTCTTAGTAGATCTGACTTCTGAACTCACTTGGACAGTGTGTTCGTAGTTTTATAGATCGATCTCTGAACTTACTTAGTCGATTCGGATTTTAGACTTTGCTTGGGTAGATCTTGTTAGTTTCGCCGGAACATTTGAATTCTCTGTGCTTTACTTTCTTCGTATTGAGTTTGTGCTTTGTCTATGAATCTAACCGACGACTTCAAGATTTTTACGTTTCGCCTGGGTGAAACTTGATTTAAAATCAATCACACATTATGAGACTCAATACAAATTAGTGAAAATGCTTGAAGCAGCTCGGAGGATTTTGATTAGCATAGCGTATGCTCTATAGGAATCGCTGTGAAGCTTTTTCAAAAGGCCTCACGATCCTCAAATTCTGATGTAGCCTATTTGCTAGCTTCTGAATTTTTCTTACTGGATTAGGTTCTTATTTTTCAGACAAGATATCTGTGACAATAATTATTTAGGGGAAAAACCATCTGGTGCACAGACAAAGGCTATTTTCTCCCTCAATCCTAACCTGGTTGCTTTCTTATATGCAGGAATCTTGCCCTTCCATTAAAAACATTCTTCTTTTAGATTCCGAAGGGAAGCGTGTAGCTGTTAAGTATTATTCGGATGACTGGCCTACAAATAGCACAAAGGAAGCATTTGAGAAAGCTGTTTTCACCAAAACTCAGAAGACAAATGCTCGAACAGAGGGTAGCAACTTTTTCATGCTAAGTTTTATCTGTTTTTTCTGATTAATTATCCCTAATCATGTCACCCTTCCTATTTAATTCAACTGCGATGCCGTTTTAATCGCAACAAGGAAGCTTCAGAATCTTTTGGTAGTCAAATTATCTGATTTGGTGTATCCAATATCATTGTTTTTTAACGAGAGAATAAGAATTATTTTTAATTGCATTTGTGCGACTACTATTAGCATGGGTTTGTCATTGTTTACTTTGAAAGTATATTTTGTTCTCTGCATTCTTATATTAAAAAAAAAATGTTCTCTGCATTCTATAATTTTTGTTTGACCATATACCAGTATGCACCATTTTGTCGAATGCGACATTTTGTTTTATATGCCTTATATGGTTGGTGAATTCCTTCTCAACATTTCAACTTGATATTTACTTCTAATATACAGCGGAGATTGCAATGTTTGAGAACAATATAGTGGTTTACAAGTTTGTTCAAGACCTTCACTTTTTTGTCACGGGTGGAGAAGATGAAAATGAGCTCATTTTAGCGTCCGTTCTTCAGGGATTTTTTGATGCTGTGGGCCTTCTTCTTAGGTCTTGACACTTTTTTTTTTGTTTTTGAATCCTTCTGCACTGGTTAAATGCTACTGTTCTTAATTATTCATTTTTGTTTCTTGTACTACAGGGGTAATGTAGAAAAGAAGGAGGCACTTGAGAACTTGGACCTCATTTTACTATGTCTTGATGAAATTATCGACGGAGGGTATCTTTCATTTGCTTCTTTTCTCATACCTTTATTCACATTTCAATTGTGTTGCTTGTTATTCTATTTCCTTCTTTTGATCAATATTTTGTATCTTGATTGTCATTTTTTGATTTAATACCCTCCCTAAGTTGATGTGCCTATTCTTGTCAGACCAATTATCGATGTGAAAATTGAAGTATTAACTGTTAAATATTTATATCAAAAGAATCTAAGGTAGTTGTATCTATATGTCATTACTTATCCCTTGTAAGGAAATATGTAATAGAGTCATGAGTACATGTGGAAACAGTTTGTTGATGGGTGAGAAATATGCTTTCATTGTAGTTGCTAAAATTCTATAGAATAATAGTCTAAACGATTAGAATTGGAGTACTGGTTAGTTTTGATTTGACGGATTCTTACTGGACAAGGGATTTGGCTGTCTCACATCTTCACTTCGATTATGTCACTAGTGAATTGTTTACATGAGTTTATGGAGATACTTTTTGTGATCATGATGATAGTGGTGACGAGATTATATAACGTGAAGTATAAATCCCAAGAAACCAGAATTCTAGAATTTGAAGTGGTATAATTGTGTATGTTAATTGGTTAGAAGTTACAGTTTGTGATTGAACATGTGATTGTTATTTGAGTAGATTTAAGTAGTCTATGTTGGACTCTAATTGATCCTATTTATTGGCGAACCACAAGTTACTGTATAAGTTGATTGGGAGTATTATTAGAATCTCTTAAGCGTTGCTAATTGGAGCTACTAACTCAGCTGACCAACGGCTGTTCGTTTGTAGGTTATTGCCTTTTAGTTTACCATCATTTATAAATGTAGCAGATAGATAATTACGCACAGCTTTTTATTTCAGTAGCACCCATGTCCCTTTGTACTTGTAATATTTACATAGTAACCATCCTTGTTTCTTTTATTTCTTTTCTACGTGGATAAATGTGATATCCCACATTGGTTGGAGAGGAGAACGAGACACCCTTTATAAGGTTGTAGAAACCTTTCCCTAGCAGACGCATTTTAAAACGTTGAGGGGAAGTTCGAAAAGGAAAGCCCAAAGAGGACAATATCTGCTAGCGGTGGGTCTAGGCCGTTACAAATAGTATCAGAGCCAGACACCGGGCGATGTGCCAGGGAGGAGGCTGTTCCCCATAGAGGGTAGACATGAGGTGGTTTGCAAGTAAGGACGTTGGGCCCCGAAGGGGGTGACTTTGGTGGGGGTCCCACATCGATTGGAGAAAGGAACGAGTGCCAGCGAGGACGTTGGGTCCTAAAGGGGGGTGGATTGTGATATCCCACATTGGTTGGGGAGGAGAACGAAACACCCTTTACAAGGGTGTGGAAACCTTTCCTTATCCGACACGTTTTAAAGCCTTGAGGGGAGCCCGAAAGGGAAAGTCCAAAGAGGACAATATCTGCCCGCGGTTACAACAAATAACAGGGCATTTGGACATCTAATGCCCTGCATAGGTCAAACTTAAAGCATAAAGTTCACCAATGATTGTTTTGTTCATGATATAAACTTACTAATTGCTTTTTCTAATTTTTTAAACTCCATCTATTGATATGTGTACTATGTTTTGATGCAAGACTACAAATCATTAGAATTTCATCGATTTACTTTTTCACAAAGCTGTTTTCAAGAATTGATTCTTTTTGCTCTGTATATCCAAATGGTTTGGTGTTTTCATTGCCTCTCATGAAGAAGGGTATTACCACCATTCTTATGTCAACTTCCAGTGCACTAGTATACTTCACTCTTTTTACAAACTATCTTGGCATTATGAAACACGTTGATTGCAGAAGAAAATGGTTATTAGAGACTGTTTTAACCATTCATGTGCGTATTTTTCAGCATTATTCTCGAGACCGATGCAAACGTCATTGCAGGGAAGGTCGCAAGTCACAGTATTGACAGTGGTGCTCCTTTGTCCGAGCAGGTACAATATTTCAGATTCTTCTTCCTTTCCTTTACCTCTCCTTTACTTTCAATAATCTTGAAAGGTGTTTTCTTCTCTCTCTCTCTCTCTCTCTCTCTCTCTCTCTCTCTCTCTCTCTCTCTCTCTCTCTCTCTCTCTCTTGCAGACAATAAGTCAAGCATTAGCCACAGCTCGAGAACATCTAGCAAGATCTCTTCTTAAGTAACAAGTTTGCCTGAAAAAAGAGTGGGAAGGACAATGACCCTTCCACCAAAAACAAGGGGGAAAAGAAAAAATCAGGTTTAGTTCATCTGTGGTGTGTGTTTTGGTAAAAGATGATTAATGTTTGAGTTATTAGTAGCCTCATGTTTATATTATATATTCAGCTCATACTCTCTGCTGCATGCATGCCTTTGGGTAAACCTGATTTTGGATTTGAGGGGATGTTTGTGCACTGCGGGACTGGTGTCAAATGTTTATTATATGTGTGTTTTCTTTTTTGGTTTTTTCTTTTTCTTTTTTTCTTTTTTCTTTTTTTAAATGTTTGTGGTTATTGGCTAAACGAAGATCGAGAATGTTTCTAAACGTGGCGTTGCCAGGTTTTGGAATTTTGCTTGCGCATGGATGAAAAATAGAGGAGTATAATCTAATAGATGTGTTCTTCGATCAACAATTCTATGATGTTGTATGAAACTTTTGACCTAAAAGTAATATGCTATATGAATACGTGTAAAATAATAAATGTTTTATTCATGATTGGCAACTAAGCTAAATAGATTTTTTTTTAGAATTTTTAAGTTTTTTTGAATGGGGAATTTTAAACACTATTATTTATAGTTTTGTAAATTAGATTTGTGGAGTTTATTATTCTTTTAAAAAATAATCATTTTAAAGTTTCATTTTTTTGGTTATAATCTTTATTAAAAAATAGTAAAAAAAATCTTAACAAATTAATATATTTTTGTATGCAAACATATATATAATTCAACCTCTTTTTAAAATTCAAATTTTATTATTACAATCTAATATATATTGAAAATATATTTATACTAAGCTTGAATTATTATTACAATCTAATATATATTGAAAATATATTTATACTAAGCAGAGTGAAGGAATAGGAAGTATAATTCCGTCCCTAGTACTACTTATCTAACCGGACAAAATATATTTCACTCCTCTCTCATTTTTTGTCTAAATTGAAAATTTTCTCTCCATTTAGATTGAAATCCCGTCAATAAAATGGACATTTCTACTCAAAACGTGTCCTTCGCCGCCCATTTCTTAGAAGAAAGAGAGCAAGCCACTAGATGATATTTGATTATTAATGTCTACAAGTACTACAGAACATTTCTGCTTTTACATATTTGATTATATTTATGCTTTACTAAACAATACCTTTCATAGGCTGTTATTCTCTTCTTTATAGCCAATAAACAAGCAAACAATTCCGACCGCCCTTAAGCATCTCTACAGTTATAAAGTTGCAGTTGTTAGACGACGACGACGATCTATTCCACTCTCAACAAGCCGAGGTTCCATCTCTAGCATTTTCGGAGTCGACATGTTCATTCGATGAGCACATAATCCGCATCAGCTGTGAAAAGATCTCTTGCAGTAGGAGGCATATTGTTGCGAGTTATCGATTTTCGTACCTGAGCATGAGTTTCAGCCTCATGCTGAAACATTTTAACCAACTCTTGCAGTTCCATCTTCCTGACTTCAACCATCTCGTCTGTCATGGGCTTCTTCAAGCCGAGGTAAACCAGCCCCCCTCCCATCAGTCCAATTCCTAACAAGAATAGGATTCCTGAAAATAATGCAAATGCATACGGTGTATCTTCCGCTCCCGGGATCCCGTCCACGTTGATTCCGAACAGCCCGGTTATTATGGAAAGAACAAGCCCACAGCCACCAAAAACCGCCAAGTTATGAGTCACTCGGAGGCTTTTGTCCTGAAAAATGTTGTAAGAAAGAAAGTGAAACCAATCATGCTTAATTATAATTAGACATACATATAATTAAACATGCCATTTGCTTGATTAGTTTCTGTTAGATAAATCCCTAGTTTTAGGTTAAGAGTGATTCCTATTTTTTGTTAAAGCCACACAATTAAAGTCAGTGGAGTGTACACGGATTGGCTTTAATTGAGTAGCCGCTCCTTTCCATTTTTTAAATATCCGAATCTGAAATACTGTCTCTCTCTTGTGTTTTTCTGTTATTTTCTTCTTCCAACATCTCTAAAACACTATTGCTCTCTTGTGTTGTTCTGTTATTTTCTTCTCCCAACATTTTCCTTCGGCATTTCCTCCGATTTGCTCGGTCAAAAACAACAGTTTCATGATCCACCAAAAGGAAAGTATAAGAAGAATTGAAACCAAGCATACAGCAGAACATAAGATTGCATTTCATATAATTCAAGAATTTGAAAGATGAATCTTAGATTTATAATTTGAAAACCTCTGTTTGGCAATGAAAATAAAAGGCATTTGGGTATAATCTAATTTTTGTAAAGGAAAAGAGATTAGATAGCAAATGGCCACTAAAATATCCTCATTAACTTATCCTTTTTGTTTGGATTATCGTTAAATTATATCATTGAATCAAGTACCTGTAACCATGCACGAACGTTACTCTGCATGACATCTTGAATGGTGAATAAACGATCACGAACTGCTTCCTGCTCTTCAATCATCTGCCTTGTGCTCTTTCTTACGCTCTCTAATAAGCTTTTTGCCACATATCCCCGTAGATGTTGAAGAAGTTCATATATAATCTCCTCTCTTGCATGCAGCGACCACTTAACTCTGATAACCTGAAATTGCCAACATTTGTTACGAACGACTGCCGAGGCATACAAGCACAAAATCATGCCATCGTCCTTTTATTCAAACGAAAAGAAAATAATAAAATTCACTGTCACTAAAAACTAGAGGAAGATGAATTTTAGATGATATGGAACTTCCGGGAATGACACCTTATTTCGTATCACAGATTCAATAATTTTCGCCCGAAAGTAAATGCCTCGACTCTATTTTAAACTAACTTCATCATTATCATTATCTTGTTCCTCTCCAACCCAAGCACACAAAGGAAAGGAAGAAAAGACTGAAATGAAACAGTTCCACAAACATTATTGTGTTTTTTCATTGCAGGCAAACCACCGATTAAATCCCAACCAAGGATTGAATCCATTATTATTGTTACTTTATTTTTTTATGGAACATAAACAATTTTATTGATGTATGAAATTACAAAAGAAGGTTGAAAATCAATGAAAATACTATTTAGAACACTATGAAGAACAACAGACATCAAGGGAAATTTTTCCACAAGCATGGAGTATAGTGACGAGACAGCATACCTGTCTTGATAATTTTCTGATTTCTTGATTCAGGATGATACTAAAAAGATGCATATCTTCATGGTTTCTCCTATATTCATTAGGGAGAAAAAATCAAGGAGAGTATTTGTGAAAAATATGCATATACAAAAGATAAACTGACACGATATTACTTCAATAGATGGCATGCAGAAACGACACAGACCTACACAAAACTTTTCGACAATGTTGTTTACCAAGCTATAGCTTGGTGTAAACTGTCTAATATTTTTACTTCCTACCGTTATACCTCCCTCTTTGCAAATTGGGAAGTCTTTTGTAAACATCATAGATTATACATCCCTCTTGTAAATTTCACTCATCAATGAAATTGTCTTATAAAAAAAAATCAATAGATGGCGTGCAAGATAAGAACCTGTCCATAAATTTCAATTCAATCTCATCCGCAGCTCCAAATATGTATTTTCTAAATAGCCTGTAAGAAAAAAAGATAATGGAATTTAATACATCAGTCATAGTACGTTGGAACATTTGACTACAGAATTTTAGATCAACTGAAGAAAGAAGCCTATAGCCTTGGACTTCTTGACATAAAACTATCATGAAATTTTATTTTCAGACAAATAGTAACTATTACTATACACAGAAAGAATAGTAGCATTACTTGTGCATGTCGGCTCAATAAGAAAGGGGAATATACCAGTCATATGGTATACAATATGACAGAGTAGTATTAATTTGGTTAATTTATAAGCTTAGTCGTTGTACTTTCGAATTTTTTAAAATTCACAGATCAATTGGACACAAAATTGAAATTTTAGGGGTCTATTAGACGTAAAATTCAAATTTATACCTATGAGATCAATTATCTTTTAAAAGTTTCAAATTTGAAAGAGTTCTATAAGTCACAAAATTGAAAGTTTAAGAACTTACTAGGTACATGATTAAAAAATTTAGAGACCTATAACATACTTGTGAATCTTTAGGGACCAATTAGACACAAACTTCAAAATTTAAGAACTAAACTTGTAATTTAACCTATTAATTTTAACCATGAATCTACAATAATTATTTTAGGGTGAACTATGCTACTGCAGTTGTAACTTTTTAAACTAAAGTTATTACCTATCATCCCATCTTGAAAGACGGCAAGTTAGTTGTGCAATAACTTCATGCACCGTTCTTGGTGCATTATAACCTCCTGTTATCAGAAGCTCCTATCCAGAGGTTGAAGAAGAAATCAGAAAAACAATTAACAGAATTGTCGAACTTTTCCTTCACAAAGAGGCAAAATAAATTATTTCTTTCATGAAAAACAACCTGAACTTCTGTGACACCTAAAACATTTATGTTTGATACCGGTCCTTTAACATGCAATGACGTTATCAGGAAGTTCTGAGCTTGCCAAGATCGAAGTACAATGGGAATGTCATCCTCTTCACTTAATGGATCACCAGCAGATTGTCCAAGTAGTTCAAATAGCAGTCCTCCAGCCACCCTTACTGGAACCTGTCTAGAAGTCAAAAAAGCAAGTGATTAGATTTTCCTGAGAACTTATATGGCATACCTAGAGATCTTTGTTTTGCACCCTGAAATTGCAAGAGACTAAGGGCTTTGTTTTCGAAATGATATGCGGGTTCTTGTTAAAGATAATTTTCTCTTGCTTTACATAGCTTATATAAAGCAAGAGAAATTTGTACCAAACTGGCATGGCAAAGACTGGTGTAAAATATTACAATTTCACGACGTATATATTAATATGCAATCAGCTAGACACGAGTCATGTATCTCATGCTACATAATATGAACAATGAAATTTCTTCTTGTAGTTCTAATATTAACAGAGGTCAGTAAAAAATGCTTCTTATTACCAATATACAGTAGCAGTCAAATAGCATGAAAGCTAGGGAGATTTACACCTCATAGAAAAGGTGCTTCATGCGGTCGCTTATGAGTCGACTTTCATCTCTTAAAGCTAAACTAATGGCAGGATGCAACCAGTGAGCAGTTCTGAGCCACGCCTCAACGGAAGGGTGGCTTGCAGAGACATGGCACCACCATATAGGTCCAGCTGGACGCTTCCAATAAGGTGCTACAAGATCTGCAACTGTAAGGTCATCTTCTTCATCCATGAAATCACATGACATTAAGGCCCATTCAGCATCTACTTGTATTGTTTGAACCAGCTCTGATATTCTGTCCCATCCTATAGGCAACCAATTATTGCCCTCAAATCTTTCTCTTTCATAAAACTGGCCACATTGGCTCTTTGGATCATCCGTGGATGTGGGTTCTAGTAATCTTCTCCTCTCCCGTGCAATGACATTGTCGTTATTCAGTTCAGTTGTAGGTGTCCGCGTGGTCGGAAATTCACTATTCAGTTGTTGCTTATCAGGCATCTTGGTTCTGGATTTTGAATCGATTGATTTCTTTGGTCTTCCAATGAATTCAAACGCACAAATAAGCCCATCTGTCCAAAGATCATATCCTAGTGCTGCATCCTTGTTAAAGGGTTTATGAGCTTCTGGTTTCTCCACATTATTTCCACGAGAGCTATGGTTGACATCCATTTACTTAAATTTCTATCCTGATATGCAGATCAGGGAAACAGCATATCAGCAGCAAAACAAGAACATGCTCATTCTAGAAAGACACACAAAGACCGCTGAGTAAGTCATGTTCGTAATATAAATAGGACGAACGTAATAATAGAGTATTGTAAACTTAAATATGAGATAGTAATATAGTATAAACCAAATTTGAAAGGAGCACTCCTTTCCAATACTCATCCTTTTGTCTTCCCCTTTCTAAAGGTCATAAAAACGAGTACGATACTTCAGATGATGCTGATGGTAATAGATAAGAGGAACCATGAGCATTGAACGAAACTGAAACATCTGCTATGCTTACAACTACTCGTACTAGTGAAAAGATTTTCATACAGTTATGGGATGGAAAAAAACATAAGCAATAACTTCATAGCAAGAGGCATCCTATGAGATTCTCGAAAGAAAATCCGCGCATTCTTCCCTGTCGAAATCATATTTCTAGTCCTAAAACCAATATGATCGAATGAATTGGGGCTACATTGGATATATATATATTCTCAATGAGCTAAGATAGCAATTATGGAAGTACAAGAAATTTCGAGTGTAATTGCAATTCAGATAGAAACGTTTCCCCCATCTAAGTCAACAAGACAAATGGAATCTTTCGTTTGAAATTTAAATTCATCAAGATTCTCATGAATTATCATTGCCAGTAATCGGTTCAGCACAAATCACTAATCTTACACTTAAAAGAACGTACAGCCAGCGCAATCAACCATCAAGCTAATCAAACTACGTAAATTTTTGAAGCACAATCCCCTCATTACTCCGTCCAGAATATTTACACATTCAAGAACTCGTATCATTCAATAACCAACCAGCAAGCTATACTCCGACTAAAGTGCGTGTTATGCGGATCTAGATGCAAGGAAGTCGAAGAAAATTAAGGAAAAAATTGAACTCACCGGCCAAGAAAGTGGATGCGTCAAGCTAAAGCAGTGGACATAGGAGGGTAATGATCAAGGCGAGAATGAGATTTGCACTGGAAAACAGCGATGAACGACTTCCCCAGTGAGTGAATAATATGCTTCTGTAGCTACGCGTCGAATCTCCGGAACTGATAACCGGACCACCAGCTTCAGGACTCCCACCAATTACCTGTTTCTTCTACTTCACTAAGAGCGTAGATAAGAAATCATAATCCATGGGAACAAATCTAGCAGCTCCGGCTTGAACAAACAACAAACTCCTCCAATTTTGCAGATAAACAGAAAAAAAATATAAAAAAAAATTAAACTGAATTGGAAAATGGATGAGCATCTAGGAATGTTCTTATGACCCTCGAATCAATCAAAACTTTGAGGTTGGGTTGGGTTAGATAATTCGAATCAATTCGAATGAATCTATTTTTTTTTTTTCAAAAGATTAGAAATTTGGTTGAATTTTGCAGTTGGATATTTGTTTATAATTCAAACTACATTACTTCTGAAAAAAATTAATTAAAAAAATATTTAATATTTTAATTTTAATTTTAATTACGATGAATATAATTTTTTTTTAAATAATTAAAAAAATAGTCTGACAAATCAACCCAATTTGGGATTTGATGGTCAACTTTATTTAGGTTGTCGGGTCACTAAATTAATTAACCCAAAATTTCAGATTTATCCAAAAAAAAATTTCAGTCCAATCCATCCGAGCTTAAATATGTATCCACCTATACGTCTGCAAGTTGCTCAACTAGGTGAGGGCCATTTACCGTTCATTTGCCATCACATCCTAGTTTTTTCGAGTTTTGTACTGTTTGAGGTTCTCTTTGGTTCACTTTGGTTCAACAATTTTTCTTATCGGTTTGACCAGCTTGGTGTATTTCAAACTGGTTAGGTTCGATTATCATCGGTTGACCATTGATTCCATGTTTTATATGTCAATTCAACTTGGTTTAGGCTCGATTCGATCTAGTTCCAAATCAGTTCAATGATTTTCCTTCGATCTATATTGATTTTCCTTATTTTGGTTTAGCTCAACTATATATATATATATATATATTTGCACTCCCTTCTTTCTATGATTCTTTCTCGGACCTCATTAGTATTAAAGTGTTTAGTGTTGGGTTAATGTATACGAAAGTGATGCACATAAAACAGTGTATGAAATCAATACACATCCCGAACATATAAAAAGAACTGAAATCTAAGGCCATAGTTTTAGGTCCAACTAAAAATAAACGACATGATTCGTGTTTGCATTCCCTAACCTAACAACTAGATCATTCATTCAAATGTGATCTCGGTTTATACACGTACCCCTCATTGAAAATAAAATAAATAAATGAAGTTGTATATTATAATTTTTTAAATTGAGTTTATTTATTTTTACAATTATTTAAAAAATAATTATAAAACTAACTAAATAATTTTCTTAAAAAATAATTATTGAATAGGTGTTGAAAATAACTTATTCATTTATAAATTAATAGCTATTAATTTATATAAAAAAAACTGTCATTTTATTTCTAATTTTCTTCAACATGTATATTATAATAAAAATTAATTTAGTACAAATTCTAAACCACACATAATAATAAAAATAAATAAATAAATAAACGTCAATTTCTCTTAATCCACAAATTTTCCAAATTTATTTTCACATAAAATAAAAAATAAAAAATAAAAAATCATGTTATTATAGTCAATTAAATACATAATATTAATTAAATTAAAATATTTTATTAGTTTATCTCGAACTTAATAGCTTTTTAAACAATATTTTATATAAAATATTTTAAAACTAATTTTCATAAATTAATTAGTTATATTCGTTAATTTTAGGTTGGATAATTTGCAATATATATATATTGTTTTTTTTATAATTATTATTAGTATTAAATTATTATATATATATATATTGTTTTTTTATATATAATTATTATTAGTATTAAATTATTATTATTATATATTGCTTTTTTTTTTTTTAATAATTATTATTATTATTTTTTAGTATATATAAATAAATAAATTAATTAAAACCGAACGCTGATATCCTAGTGGAGCTCTTCCGGAAACGAACAGAGCGTTGCAGGAGATGACGAATGTCATCTTCTTCTTCAAATCCTTCTCTTCCTTACATTTCCAGTTCCCCTCTCTGGTTCCCAAGCCTCCGCCATTTCTGAGCTTCCTCAGCTTGCAGAAGAAAAGCTCCAGCAATTCCCTCAACTCGGTTGACAAAACGCTAATCGGAGCTCTATCCGGAGTCCTTTCGTTCGGCCTTCTTTTCCATTCCCCCTTATCTGTTGCGTTGGATTATTCGTCTGTGGAAATCTTCTCATTATCGGCTGATTCTTCGCCGTCCGATTCATCTGCGTCTTGTGTTGAAGACGAGCTACCTGACTTTGGAAACGCTGAGACGGTGTCTCCGCCGGTAACTAACGAGGATATTGTGCAAGAGGCTTGGGAAATTGTAAATGATAGTTTTCTAGATGCTGGTCACCATCGCTGGTCGCCTGAAGCTTGGAAGGTATAGACTCCCCTGTGGCCTCTCCTGATTAGGCAAGTTTTTTCAATTTGAGTATCGTGTGTCAGTTTATATATATACACTATACTCCGCTATTTACAATGTTTACCTATATAATATTTGGTGTTCTTGTGTAAGCTAGTGATCGGAATCCATGGAAGGTAATGGAATTTATTCGAATTTATAAATTTGAACTTATTTGCCGACAAATATGCGTGCATGCTATTCGAAATTCTGCTATAGTGAACAATTGTTAAAAATGAATGTCATTGCAAGTCTGAAGTAATGAGCACGGATATTGATGCTTTCAGCAAAGGCAAGAAGACATTATGAATATGTCAATTCAAACTCGGTCAAAGGCTCATAATATCATCCGAAGAATGCTGGCAAGCTTGGGCGATCCTTATACACGTTTTCTTCCCCCTGCTGAGGTAACGATTTTCTCACTTTTATCCTTTCAGTTGCCGAGTTTTCTTCCTTGTACGATGTTGAATACTGATGTCTTTTGACTGAGCAATTTGTCGTGAGGAAATTGTCGGAGGAAAAACAGCAGATTGTTGGAAGAAGAAAAAATAGGAAAAACACAAGAGAGATAGATGTATTTCAGATTCTGCTCAAGACCGATTATTTGTTTCTCATTCGATTGACATATTTAAATAACAATTATATGTTAAAAATGGAAAGGAGTGGCAACTCAATTAAAGCCATTCCATTTGGCCATTCCACTAACTTTAATTGTGTGGCTTTAACTAAAAAAAATAGGGATGACTTTTAACCTTAAAATAGGGATTTATCGGGTTATCAAGGCTCAAAATGGCAAGGACTTCTCATTAGTAATCAAATTTGAGAGATCTATCTTAAAGATGGTTCTGTATGCCGTTAAAGCAAGTTCCTTATTCGTCAAACTTTAAGTTCTTATTCATGTTCTGTTTTTCCATTTTTGTTTCTTTTTTGGAAGTTCTCCAAAATGGCGAGGTATGACATGACTGGTATTGGAATAAACCTTAGGGAAGTTCCAGATGATAGTGGAGGCATGAAAATAAAGGTACTAGGACTCTTATTAGATGGTCCTGCACATTTGGCTGGCATTAGACAGGTAACTGTTCAGAGCTGATCCAATTTTTAAAATCTATGCTCTTCAGAAAAACATTTGATTGCTATGATTCTAATCCCTGTTGATTATCTCGAAACTGAGCTGTTTTTAAAGATTGTCTTTAGAGTTTTAGAACAAAAAAATTATTTAAACATGTTGGGATGTCTATTTTTTAAATTTTGTTTTCCTTTGTTTTAATTTTATTTGTGCTTGTGGATTACCTGTTCTTTAGAATGCTCGAAATTCTTCATCTTACATTCACAAATTTCTAAATAATAGTTTTAGGTTCATAATAAACTAAACTCTACAACCCACCATATTATCTGTTAAAAAAATGTTCTGAAAACAATATTTCAGATACTGGGTTCATCATGTATGATTCATCAGAAAAGGCAAAAATCATAACTAGTATCTTGCAGCAGAAGCCTTTCTGATTTTTTCATGTGGTTATGTTTCCATGTTATCATTTTCTAATTCAGGATCTTATACTGTGAAATAGTGTTGTGCAGTTTCAACAATTTCTATTCTTTCTTTTTTCTCCTTCTGTTAGGGTGATGAAGTTTTAGCTGTTAATGGAGTGGATGCGAGAGGGAAATCAGCATTTGAAGTATCTTCATTACTACAAGGCCCTAATGAAACACAAGTGACTGTTAAGGTTGTTATCGTAGATTTGTTTCAATTTGATAAAATGCCTTGTTAACTTTTTTTTCTTTTTGTTATTTTTCTTTCAATCATCCAGGATGCATTTTTTATAGGTCAAACACGGTAACTGTGGACCAGAAGAAAGTATTCAAGTACAAAGGCAGGTTCTTGTTCGATCCCCAGTCTTTTATCGCCTTGAGCAAATTGATGCTGCCTCTTCTGTTGGGTACGTTCGCCTAAAGGAATTCAATGCATTGGCTAAAAAGGACTTGGTTACAGGTAATTGTCTGATTAATGAAACCACTTGATATGTAAAGTTTCTTTCTAACTTATATAATCCCACAAATTAATCGTGGATCATAAAAGGTTCATCGTACAAGTAACATTTTAGGAATTGAGTTCTGTCCCATTGAATTTAGGATTTAATATAAGGATTCAGTTCCTTTAAAATAGGGCAGAAACTTGTATGGATTTGAATTGAGTTCTATGTCATTGAATTTTGATTTTGTTTATTTTATTTTACACAGTTAAAATGGTACGGATGTATTTTCATTGCAATTGGATATGCTTAAATGATAGTTCATCTCTTTCAATCCATTTATTTATTTATTTTTTTAGTTTCATCCCTAATTTAGCATTGTTTTAAGAATCAATTTGATTCATCATCAAGCCTGTTCAATGGAAGCTCTTTAGTTCCTAACACACAAAGCAGGAAAGTACCTCATATATATCATTACTTTGGAAAATCAAACTGAAGGAAAGTCTAAGGACCACCATTTTATTTATCAGTTATTGTATTGGAGCTATTAAAACAGAATAAAACAAATCAATACTCACTCAGAGAAAGTTAGTTATTGCACTCTTTTATGAGTGTTATATGCAGAAGGTAAACCTATGTTCTGTTGTTATGTAGATTGGAATTGTTTCAACACTACCTGTTAAGTGGATGATTTCTGCTAATAATAGAGGCATAATTGTTACAGCAATGAAGCGTCTTGAGGCCATGGGCGCTTCATATTTCATTTTGGATCTCAGAGATAATCTTGGTGGACTG